GGACAGAGAAACACAGAGCAGAGCAGAAAAAGCTACTGGTGATAACTCAGGGCTTCACTGAGGGGAATCCTGCCTGGATGTGGAGCAGCTTTAATTTCCAACACCAAGAGAGCTCAGCTCTGCCAGGCTGTACCTTGCAGCTCCCAGGTCTGGCACAACTCAGCAGTGGAGACTTCCCACTCCACCCTGAGCAACACCTCAAGCTCTTTCTCACTCTGAGGTTGGCCAGACCTGAACAGGCTGCCCAGAGAGGCTGAGGGGTCTCCTGTGGGGACACTCCAAACACAGAATCACAGAGTGGCTCAGGTTGGCAGTCACCACAGTGGCTCATCTGGTCCCATCTGCCTCCAGCAGGGTCATCCCAGAGCCAATTCCACAGGACTGGGTCTGGAATGTCCCCAGTGAGGGAGGCTCCACACCCTCTCTGGTCTCTGCTCAGGGCTTGGTGCACAGGGAAGTTCTTCCTCACCTTCAGATGGAACTTGTGGGCACCAGCTCCTGCTCGTTGCTCTGGTGCCATTGCTGGGCCCCCGGGGCAGAGCCTGCCCTGTGTCTGAGCCCTCCCTGCAGGCAGGGACAGTGGGCAGTGCTCTGAGCAGGGCCATGGCTGCATCCCCAGGGTCCTGCAGGGTCCCAGCTGTGCTGTCACTCAGAGTTCCCTGCTGCCACTGCCTGGTGGGAGAGGCGATTGCATCCTGCCCATCCCACTGCTTTGGGCTGCCTGTATTCCAGGGAAAAAGGTGAATTCCCCACAGCAAGCAGAGTCCCTGACAGAGCTCACTCCAAGCCACAAAACTGCCCCGTGAACATGAGCAGGAATTTGATGGAATCATGGAATCATTTAGGTTGGCAAAGACCCCCAAGATCACTGAGTCCCACCATTAAACACAGGCCAGAGTTTATCCAGCCTCAGTGGGAGAAGGAGCCTTAAGCAGTGATTTGTCATGGGAAATATTAATCCAGATAATTAAAGCTTGGTAAAATTATAAGCATATGGAACCAGCAGCATATAAAGGAGATTGTCAGGCAACCACAGCTTAGGTATCTAAAGGAAAACAAAGAGAGCTGGTTGCTGCAAACTTTGCAGCCAGCTGAGAAATGAAAGGCAAACACTCCTCTGTCATCATCTGGAAAGCAATGGGAGCTCTGCCTCCTGGCAAAGCCTTCTGCTAAACAAGGCAACACAAGGAGGAGTCATCGGGGTTGAGGCCAGAAGGGACCATTAGATCATCTCCAGTGACCTCCTGTCTAACAAAGGCCCCTGAGTCCCACCCTGCTCCCTGTCCTGAGCCCAGCAACTCCTGCCTGATGATGCATCCATCCCAGGAACCCATCCAGCCCTGAGAGGATGACAGAAGGAAGCAGAATCCCCACCTTCATTCCTGTGGGTAATTAATGTCTCTGCTAAGTGCATGTGCCTCATTTCAAGCAGCTCAGGCTCTCTGCTCCCAGTGGTGTCTGTAAAGCCACTCAGCAGCCTGGTGGGTGTCTGACCCAGCTCTCCTGTAACCCTTCCTGTTACTCTCTGCACCCAGCTGATGCTTGGGGAGCCCTGGGACACCTGCACAGTGCCCACTGCAGCCCTGCACCCTCCAGAGCAGCTGCTTTCCTTTGAGGACACAGCTCTCCATCCTCTGGCTATTCCCAGCACTCTATTTCAGGCAGCAAGCACAGGTTTTTTCCAAATCTTTTAGAGATGTGGCTCCCCATGTCTGTGGGCTGGCTCAGTAGGGACAGATCCAGAGAACACAAGGAAGTGGGAGCAGGCAGCTCCTCTGAGTGGCACTGCAGGTTTTTGAATAAAACCAGATCCATACAAGAGAACAAAGCAGAAAAGCAGATTTCAGAACATCACTCACTGTGTTTAAGGGGGGAATAAAACATCAGGCACATCAAACAAATATTTGCAGACTGTCTTGGGCACAAGTGACTTGTGTCTGGGTTATCCCAATGGGGAAATCAGTGTTGTTTGCTTTCTTATATTTAACTTGTAAAAAAAGGAAATAAATTATTAAACTCAGTGTGTGCATGCCAGAACTAATGTTCTTTTCATCACGTTCTAAGCTAAGAGAACAGTTGTCTTTAATCTTAATTTACATATAAATGAGTATTGTTTAAAGGGTCAGCTTTGGTCTAGGCAGTTCACTGACTGGAAATATTCTGGGAAGGGTTTGCCTGGGATTCTTTCAGGGTTTGTATTTCTGGATGCTCTCAGGTATTTGCACGTTGGCAAGGTGTGGGCAGGGTCACACTGGGAGCGTGGCAAAGCTGCCTGGAAAGGAGTTCCTGCTCCTGGCTGCAGGGGAAATGAGTCCATCATCACTGCAAAGCCTCCAGCTGAGCCTGCCATAGGCAGGAGCACAGCAAACACACATCTGTACATTTAATTCCCTACTCAGGAGCCCCTTTTTCTATCCAGTCTTTCCTCCTCCTGGACCTACCCTGATTTCTGTGCTGAGGACTGATCTACAGGCACAGCAGGAGAGAATTTCCCTCACAAGTAACAAGGCAAAGGCATCAATTCCAAAGTTCATATTTTGCTTTTCTTACCTGCCCAAGTTCTCGGTGTCTGGGCTGACCAGGTACATGAGGTTCCTGAGGGTATGCAGGGGGTGCAACAGATCTAAATTTACATGCTGACATGGGGAAGGGAAAAAAAAACAAACCATGATCAGGTCCTGAAGGAAACCAGCAGGCAGAGCTGATATTTAAAAAGCTATTTAAAGATATGAAATGTGCATCCCCCCTACCTGAGAGAAGCAGAGGTGAAGGATGTTAGCATTCAGCTTCTTCACTGCCCGTGTGAACCTGTGTCTGCTGAGATTCTCCCCACAGAATTCACTGTTAAAACACCACACACACAAAAACACACAGAAAACAAAATGCTGTGAAAATACAGCATTTACTGGAGGCATCAGCATTCCATGCCCTGGCTTCCTAACAAATCCTGGAGTAAAAATCCTCGCAGCGAGCACTTGTTCAAAGTCTGCAGCCAGTTCTAGAGTGCTGAGGAGATTAATTTTAAACCTAGCAGGACTTGAGCATTTTATCAGCAAGCTCTGCTTGCCCTGGCCTCACCAGTTTGCACAGGACAGGTGGTGGGAACTGTAGGGAACTCAGATCCACCTGAGCCAAACTGTTTCAGATCTCCTTTAAAGTCTTGCATCATTTCCTGTTCCCAACCTTTTCCTTCTCTGAGGGCTGAACACCCAAACAAAACCAGAGAATCACAGAAGGGTTTGGGTTGGAAGGGACTTAGAGATCATCTGGTTCCAACCCCCAAGCCACAGCAAAATGCTGAAACCCTACACAACTTCTGTGCCCTCACTTTGACAGCCATTATTTTAAAACATTTTAAAGAATCTCAGCAGCACATCTGGAACCCGTGGTGCAGATCCCAGCTGCTCCACACAGACACCAAAACTCTCACAGTGCTCTGTTCTGGGGTTTACTCCCAGGATTTTTATGCCATCATTTATGACACTGCTGCCATGCCATATTGCAGCACTTGTCCCACAGCACAGGAGGCAGCAGAGCTGCTCAGGAGCTGGGATTGGGATTTTGTGGAGCACAGTGGGGTCCAGTGAAATGAAAAGTGCCATTTGTGCACTGCCATATTTCAGCTCTCATTTGAGGATGCTAAATATGTCAATTAGAGAGGTGTTATTTTCAACTCTGATGGCTGCTCTCCCTCTCAGGAAATAAAAAAGGAGGGAAGGACTGTTAACTGTGGTCTAAAATCCTGCTAGCCCTCCTCTCAAACAGCACAAAAATCCACAAACCACCTATATTATCAAAAGCTGCTCCAATTCATGACTTTTTTGTTCAAACTAAGGTCACTGATTCCCTTGCTGTGTTTTTACTTGCCTGTTGCAGAGCTTCTTGGGAAGATTTACATCAAGTATGAGAGACAAAGTGTTAACAAGCTGAGTTGCATAGCACAATGCAGCACTGATGGTATGAGCAGGGTTATTATGTTCCATGTCTGAAAGAAATAAAAACAACATGAAATCTTTGTTTTAAATGAAGTCTTGGTGGGTGTGTTAATATGTTCCTGGAGTCTACACTGGAATATGTCATTTCTGAGCAAGGAGAACAGCCTGAGTCTAGCAATCACTTCCAGTGAAATCTGTCAGAGGTTGGAAGAAAATAGTAATTCTTGGAATTCCTGTTAAGATGATGACATGTGAACTGTGTCAAAACTGTGAATAATTAACTTTCTCTATTTCACTGTGCTGTGCATCCCAGTGAGAATTTCATGCAGAAGAAGATTTCAGCAGACTAGTCATAAAATCACAGAATGCTTTGGGTTGGAAGGGACCTTAAAAACCATCTAGTTTCAACTGGGCAGGGAATCTTCTCCTAAAATCCCTAATCTGGCATTTATTTCTGGCTCAGGCTGAGAACAAACAGACCAGTTTAATAATTGTAGAGGAGATGTCAGGCCCAGTTTTTATATTTGCATTTGGGTAGGCTCAGGGAGAGCAATGCCTCAGGGAATGTGAACAAAATTCAGATCATTCCGGTTCATCCCAAGAGTGTTTCAAGCAATGCTGGAAATAGAAGCTCTACATCTGCTACTATTAGGAAACCATGAAGGTGTTGAAGTGCCAATGAACATCACTCTTGAGGGGAAACTACACCTCTTTTTTCACCTGTGAAACTTTGTCAGTTCCTTGAGGCTGAAGGATGTGACTCATGTGCAAGGACAAGCTCCTCAGTGCTTTTGTTGGCACTCAGAGTGTCCCAGCTGCCTAAAACCATGGCCCTTACCAGGTCCCTGTGTAGTTTTCTTCTCCTCCACCCAGCTGTAGTAAGCAGAGTAGTCGCCATTGTTGGGGAGGATGATCCAGGGCCCCGTGATGCTGATGCTGGTGTCGCCGTTGTGGTCGTCGCACACCCAGCGCCCCGACAGGTACGTGGTCCTGCGCGCCTCTGCCAGCTTGCTCACAGTGCTGGAGGTCATGGCATTGTCACTCTCTGAGGACACGTCTGCTGGGTCCCTGCAGGGCCCACAGGGGGTGCAAACAAGGGGTTGGCAATGGAATCAAACACACACTTGGCAGGCACTGAGCTGGGCTTCACCCAGGGCAAAGTGCTGGTAGGAATGCTCCTGTAAAAGTTCTCAGTCCCAAAACTACTGTCATTTGTTCTGGGGTTTTTAATTGACTGTTTTTGTAGAATCCTAGAAAGGTTTGGGTTGGAAAGGACCTTCTAGACCACTTCTGCAAAACTCCTCATTCCCAAAACTACTTTTATTTTCTCTGGAATTTTAATACCCGTTTTTGTAGAATCCTGGAAAGATTTGGGTTGGAAAGACTTTATAGACCACTTCTGCAAAACTCCTCACTCCCAAAACTACTGTCATTTGCTCTGGGGTTTTTAATTGGCTGTTTTTGTAGAATCCTAGAAAGGTTTGGGTTGGAAGGGGCCTTACAGACCATCTCATTCCACCCCTGCCATGGCAGGGACACCTTCCACTAGACCAGGCTGCTCCAAGCCCTGTCCAGCCTGGCCCTAAACACTTCCAGGCATGGGGAATCCATATTTTAAGGAAGTCTAACACTGGAAATGCAGCTCATATCTCTCAGTGGGGAGATGCAAGCACCTCCAGATTCAGATTCTTCCATCCTGGACCTCCATCTGTGGGTGAGACCACAACTCCTCCTCCTCCTCACAGACCCTAAGGGAGCCAGACCACCTACCTCAGACTGACACAACTCCCTTGTGGGTGCCTAAAACCAAGCAAAAGGATCCCAGAAGGACAAGCCTGCCATACCTCATGCTTGTCTTCACCTCCTCCATGGGGAAGATGACCGAGGTCAGCTCCAGGATGTGCGCGCGCCGCAGGTTGGCCAGGTGCTCGTACTGCGTTTTCAGCTCGTAGGATTTCTTCTCCACCAGGTCTCCCAGCTTCCTGTTGTGCTTCTGGATCTTCTCCTTCTTCTCCTGGTGCCTCTGAGCCCTGCGATAATGCTTCTGGTTCTCCTCTTTAATCCTCAGCAGCCCCTCTGTGTCTGTGAGAACAGCAGCAGATGTTATCCCTTGGAAAAGGAGCTGGGAAGGGCTTGTAGGAAAAGCCTGAGAAAAGCTTTATTAATATTTATGGAAAACAAGATCTGTGGCAGCTTAAAACAGAAAACCCTGCTAAACTATGAACTTCTTCCAGCTGCTCAGTGGTACAACTTTTTAATCTCCTCTGGAGATCTCCAAAGAGACTGCAACTGGGATTATTCTTTCCCTATCTTTTAGCCAGCTATTTCTGGATTTGGAGCACAAAAGCCAAGTTTTCCCAGTTTAATTAAACTCCTGAGCTAATCATCCTGACAGAAATAACCTGACTGTACACGTCTGCATCGTGCTGGCCAAAAAGCCCTGCCCTGCTTGCAGCCAAAATCAAGTGCAGATAGCATCTTCACTCACCAGTGCTGGCACCTGTGCTGCTGCTGCTGTGGGTTATTTGGGATTCTCTCATGGATCCCAACAGTGCAGCTCCTTGTTCCCACAGGGAACATTTGCTATCCCCCCTTCCACTCACAAATGGGAGTTGTGCTCATGGGCTGAAGGGCTGCAACTGCCTGGATTCACTCCGTGTGTCAGGCTTGCAAAAATACCCTGCAAGAGCATCTTAAAGCATCCAAGGCTGGGCCTGATGATCTTAAAGGTCTTTTGCAACCTTGATGATCCCAAAATCTGCTAATTCAGATATAAAATAAGTGGCTGCAGTAATGAGAGTCAGCCACCTCTGTCTCTTGAAAACACAGGGAAAGATTTCTTGTGCTCTCCCCAAATTCACATTTAAAACTCTCCCTGTGCCCTAGTTTGAGGTGTGCCTGCCCCTGCAGACACAGAGGCTGCTCTCTCTGAACATCAGGAATTATTTCCAGTCATGTGATCTGCAGCAATCCATGGTGTGTCTGGTAGGAAGGAAGATCTGGTGTGTGGGAGATGCAAAGTCCCAAATTAAAGGAGGTGAGAAAAGCTCCTCCATGAAGATAAGAACTAATAATCCTCAGGTTTATATAATATAAATAAGTGACCCCTGATAGAGGAGCAATAGAAAAATCCACTTTTCTCTGAGCAATGCCAGAATCCCTATGTGTCAGCTATAATTCCCTTTCCTTTAAGCAGTCTTATAACATCAACAAAAAATCAATTAACACTTGCAGTCATATTCCCAAACTCTCCCTTTGCAAAAAGAACAGGAGACAGGATGAGGAGGAAAAGGTCCAGCTGTTCCATTTTCACATTCATGTTTGACTTGAAAGGCTCCTTTTTCAGAGTGAACTCCCTTCCCTGCAGGTCCAACAGCAATTATTTGGGAGCAGGGGAGACACTGCATTGAAATTTCCTCTTCAGCAGTCCCAGTGCACACACAACTGTCCTGACCTCTGCACAGCACCTCTGCTTTATGAGGTGATTAAAAATCTGTCCCCAGGAGAATTTCAGGACACCACTGTGTCCCACACAGCTGCACTGCCTGATAAATGCAAGCCCAGGCACACTGATCTCTGCCCAGAGAGCTCTGCCAGGGATTTGCAAGCCTGTCTCCTTGAACTGCTCTGCACAGAAAGAAGGCAAACACACAGATTTTAAAACATTATTTTAAGCACCACCAATTATTGAGGTCTCCAAAAGCAGGAACCCAGTGTTCTAGAAATGGTTTTTATTTCAGAAAATTAAACTGTGCCACATGCAAGAGCAGAGAAACAACCTTTTCACACTTTTTAATGTGGACCAAAAGTGACCAAGTTGGATCCTGGTCTGTTGGCTACTCACAGCTAGAATTCATTCCTGGTCTCTCTCCAAAAGCAACTGAGCTAACAATAGGTTAGTTGGGCAATAGTCAGCTCAGTTTTTAGGTTACATCTGATCAAATTCACTGTGAGTCAAGAGAAGTTGCAAAAGTTGCAGATAATAAATTCCACAGAAGAGTGGGAAAATGGAGAACTCCACTCCCTGGTTGGTCCTAACCCTGCCACCTCCAGAGCAGAGCACTTTGAGAAGAGGTGACTAATTCCTTAAAGTCACATTGATTTCCTCTTCTCCTTCCTTCACAGGCAACAGACAAAAAGTCATAATCTAATCTCCATAACAATAATCATCTACCCACTGACAAGCTTGTTTTTCTTCAACTTCCTCTTCTCTAAACCAAACATGAATTTTCTGAGCTGTTGTATTTCATTTCCAACGCTCAGACTTTCCTCAGATGATTTGTATCTTTCTTAAATTGTTTAAATTGGACACCAGGCTTCCACTGAAGCAACAACACCTGGCACAGCAGGATAACTGCTTCCATCTTAAATACAGCACTTATATTAGTTAACCCAGAAAGAGGCCTGAACCTTTCTGGAGCAGCACAGGATTGATAATTTTTATTTAATTTGCAATTCCCCAGATCCCTTCTGGCCAAATCTCACCACCATCCCCCATTCTGGGTTTATGTTTCTCTTTACAACAATGTGAACCCTGATTTTGTCCTTTCCAGATGATGCTGTCTATTTATCTGCATGTTTTGATTTTGGTCCTGGTCTCCACAGAAGTCATTTCACCATCCAGCCTGGCTTCCTCCATTCCATGCTCTATTCTGCTGAGCTATTATGGGGAATACTGCCAGGAACTGGGCCAGGAACTGCTGAGCTCCACCTGCCTCACCTCCTCAGCTTGACCAGTGCCACCACTCCTTGAATGAAGCTTTTCTAACCTTCTGTGATGACCTTGCAGGGGTTACACCCACAGCAAATTTTGTTTGCTCACAATTTCAGGCAGTGCCCAAATCCAAGCTACGTGCAGCTTCTGCTTCATCCTCCACTTCACTTCTTGATCCCCACTGAGGGGTTGATTTGACATGGATATCATGACATAAATAACAAAACATGGATTTGACATGAATACATAACCAAGTGATGGCTGTTTTTATCCACCTTACCTGTCAGTTACCAGCAGAGCCCCCTGGGTGTGTGAAGGATTCCTGTCACCAATCTGAGGTTCTGCCTTGCTGCACCCTTTGGAAGCAGGAACTGTTCTCATCTTCCTCACACACCCTCACAGGCTCCCAAGTGCTCCCCAGACCACCTCAGCTTCTTCCTTGGCTTCCATAAAGCAAAGCAATGTGCAGCTCTCTGTTTCCTTTCCTTAGCCTGCAACTGAGTCCTCTCATGATGTCAAATTTACCCAGGCTAAGCAGCTGATCCCATTTTCTTTGCAGGAAGATGGAGCAAAGGCAGCACTGAATGAATGCCTCAGACTTCTCTGCACTGTTATTTGCTCTTTCCTGTTAACTAACACACTTTTCTGCTCCTTCACCTTTTCATCACCCATTTATTATTGTTACTATCCATCTCCTTTTTAATTGAAAATAATTTTGCATCTCAGCCTTTTTGATTTTTCACCCCAAGCCTGTGCCAATCCTTTATGACTCTTCTCAGGTTCTGCCTCTGCTTCCACTCTCTGTATGGCTCCTCTTGAATTCAAAGCCATAAAAATATCCCAGATTCAATCAATATGCTTCTGAATATGCTTCCTCTACTTCCCTTGCATGTGGATTGTAAGGAGAGCTGCACATTCTCTTCTGAAAAATGACCCTGCAAATTTAGTGTAAAACAATCTAATGGGTTTCAAAAATGAAGTTTTTGAATGGAACCTACAGCTTAATTTCAGTGACTCTTGCTCAAGTAGGATTTTAGGATTTTCAGACAGGTGTGGGTTAAAATTCAGCAGTTTCAGGAAATCTGTGACAGCTGCAGAGCTGGTTGCTCCTCCTTATCAAGAGGAAGTGATCAGAAACACTACACTGAATAAAGCCATCTCTAGGGACACAGCCAGAGCCACAGGCTGCTAAGCATTTGCTCTTAAAGCTGCTGCAAAACCATCTCCATCCAGCTGAATAATGTCTGCTGTTTGCTAATTAAAACCCAAACATAAAAAGGCCAAAATCCACTCACTGATTTGCCTTCAAGCTGATCTAAGAAGCGACTGTTTGGAAATTCACCATTTTTTAAAAAAACTAACGCACAAATTCACCTCAATTGATTTTTCACTCTAAGGCACAGGGAGATTTTCCACATCACAAAAGCACAGGCATTACTCACGTCTTGTCATTTCATCATTTTCCTTGCAAATGGTCTGTTTCAGCTGCTCAATCCTCATCTTGCAAGACATTATTTTCCATCTCTGAAAAAGAACATTCAGCAACTCTAGGGCACAAATGACTTCAAACATGCTGAACTAATGATTAACAGCAAAGCCAGCAAGCTTTAGTGCAAAAAGTAGCAGGATGCTCCTGAATGGATCAAACAATTAAATATTTCATACAGTGCATTGTGCACAGAAGAATGCCACAAACAAAATGGTGCTTAGTATAAAGTGAATCAGTAAAATAAGTTATTGAACAAATATCTAGTGAGAAATGAAAAATTCAGACAGCTTGGAGCACTCTGCTGGCAGAGCCCATTTCAGTTTTGCTTACAACAGGCTCTTTGGGAAAGCAGCACAATGCCCTCAAGGTAAACTGTAACTTTAAACTATGAGATCTAGGAATTCAGAGAGTTTAAAAACCATGGCACACTTGGAGCAACTCACCAGCTGATCAGTTATTTCTTTCCCTTCCATGGCCTTCAAAACACTAGAGGAAAAAAACACGATTGAAAGTTTTATGACTATCTGGACTTCATCTGTCTGCAGCAACAGTGTGTTAAAAGAGACTGTTTCCTTTTATGAGATCTCTTAGCTTTTATATCAATTTAATAAATACAACTTACTGTTTTTGGAATTCTCTCTGTTTGGTTTTAAGATGCATCAGCCTTTCTTTCTTCTCTGAAAACCTGGAAGAGATTAAATTCTTTTATTGATATTTTGCACAATTACAGCACTGTAAGTTGTCTGAGAAAGAGAATAAAATTGAAGCTTGGGGATTCTCCAAACCTCAGCTATCTGTCTTGATGTGGGGAAGTTAATGGCTAAATGTGTAAAACTCCTGCAGAATTCTAGAGCATGAGTCTCACTGGAATTGCAACAGAGCCTCTAAGCTGGAGAAACATCAGTGTTGAGTTATCAAACAAATAGCAAATTTCTGCTATTTCTAGATTTATGGCTTAGCAAGAGCAGTGTTTAGTGTGTTACAAAAAACATGGAGTACTTTAAAAGACCTTCAGTCACTGGAGAAATAAATAGTACTATCTCACACAGCCCATGACCCACATGTCTGCTTCAGCTCTGCTGCACTGGACTCCAGGATATGGGAACTGATCAGAAAGGAATTTTTTCAGATTCATCACCCTGTGTTATCACCCTTTCAGTATACAGAAGCCACATTCTGCCCCCTTATTGTTCCACAATTCATTCTATTTTTCTCTGTAACACACAGAATTGATGATTTCATCCTACCAGAGCTGTGACATTTGCAGATTCCCCATCCCTGCAAGTGTTCAAGGCCAGGCAGGATGAGGCATGAAGGTGTCCATGGCAGGGTTGGAACTAGATGGTCCTTAAGGTCCCTTCCAACCCAAACCATGTGGTTTTATGAATTTACCTTAATTTCATGGAAATTTAAGCTTTATTTAGAAAGAATAGTACATAAAGGCTTGACAGGATGACATCTTGGATTTCCCTCTCTGTTACACTGTTACATGTGGTTTTATGATTTTATTTTCATTTCATGGACATTTAAGCTTTATTTAGAAAGCTTAAATAGTACACTAAGCCTTGACAGGATGACATCTTGGATTTCCCTCTCTGTTACTCCATAATAAATCCAGAGAAGAACTTCAAAATGCTTCACTTTTTTCCTTCAAGTGCTGAAAGCTTGGTGACTACCTTTGGATTCACAGTGTGTGTAACCACCCTCCCAGATGACATTAGCATTAGAACAACAAAACCACGGGCTGCTGCTTTTGTAGTCAAGCAAAAGAATCTGTTTCCCTTCCAAAACAAACCCAAACCAAATGCAGGTGCTTGGCACCAAAGCCAGAGGCCACACGTGAGCTGGAGGAATGTGGTGCAACTGGAGGCCAGCTGCTCAGCCCAGCTCATCCCCTCTTCCTGTGTGTCCTCACCCCAGGAGTCACCCTGGAAATGACAAAAGGCCCTGCAGGAGCCTCCTGTTTACCAGAGAGCAGAGCACACCTTTGGCTGCCACCAGAAATCCCCTGGCCCAGAAACAGAGCTCACCCAGGCAGAGCACTGCGGTCACCTGGCAGTTCTTGGTTTCTGAGCTGCATTTGTGGGCACAAACCCTGACTGAACAGAATGATCCAATTCCTGCCCATCACAGCAGCAAAAAGCTGAATGAGCTGCCAAAGAACAGAGGAATAAATGAAGTTCTGGCTGTGGAGGGAAGGCAGAAGTGTTTGTGGATGAAATTGCAGCTCACCACGCGCTCCGGCAGCGATGTCAAACAGCTCCCACCAACCCCTCCAGCAGCCTCCTCCCAAGGAAACATTTCCACTGCTTTATATAGCTCTGATTTCAACTGCACTGCATCCTGCAACTCCTCCTTCTTTCTACATCTTTAGCCTTTCAATCTGGCAAAGAAACAAAACTTGGGATGAATTATTATAGGAACTCCCATCAAATGTAAACTGAGAGGAGAGCACATCTTGAATTACCCATGGAATGTTTCTCTTTCCTCAAGTCTTATCACATTAAGGTGAGATTTTCTGTGGTTGGCTTATTTCCACATGTTCATGATTAGAGAGAAGCAACCAGAGAGAGAGGCTTCCTAATCTACAGGAGTTGATTAATGCTGAAGGAGCTGAGGGCACAATATTCACTATAACTGCTGAAAAAATTCACTATTCCTAACCAGAACCCATAGCCAGGCTCAGACATCACAATTACATTGAGTTTGGCATTTGCCATGTGCAGATGCACAAAGCAAAGCAATTCAGCAGTCTGGGGAACACACTCTGAGAATTTCTGCACACACCAGGCTGGAGGACACTCCCAGGAGGAAGGAGAAGCTCTGAGCTGAGACCAACACCAAGATGCCAGCTTGGTTTTTGAACACACAACACATTAGTCATGAAAGGAAGGATGGCAGTGACTGTTCTCCTGCAGGACTTCTGGACTACTCATCCTTAATTGCAGCTCTCCTTAAGTCATTAATCTTAACAGCTCCTCAGTCTCTCCCCCTCACAGATATGGAGTGTGATTTTTGCCAGACAGATGATAACTTCCAGTTTTACTGTAGTTCTTCTAAAAGTTAGCTCACAAAATAGTCCCGTGAAATCTGAAATAATTACAACGTGAAATTGTTTGTCTTCATATAAGGAAAATTCACAAGAAAATTCTAAAAATAAATCACTGTTGGATACAAGGAGTAATGCTTGGTTTCTTTCTATTTAACCAGGAAGATAATGATCCTTTTCCTCCATCTGCAACACTTCAAAAAGACAAATGGGAGGCCCAAGTGCCCCCAAACACTTCCACATTCTGAATTTCTCACACTGAGCCACTCAGCAAAGCCCTTGCCATGACACTCCTGCAGCAGTGGCCGATCTAAAATTAACCCAGGCGCTACTAGAAGGCATAAAATAAATAAATAAACAAACAAGGGTGGCTGTAAACAGCAGCTGAGAGGCCCCCAGTGAACTGCACCTGTCCCTGCGTGGCTCTGCCCTGGGCACCATTTCAAACATCTCCCCCTCTCCCAGGGCTCACACCACAGGAAATTCAGAGACACCCACAAAGAGCAGACAAAGAAAACTGACCCCTTCCCCCTGATTCTTAAATCAGTCATTCCAAATATTAATTAGAGAATGCAAACAAAATGTTTCAGGCATGGTTTAAACATAATCCCATTATCCTCAAAACCCAAGCTTTTGTCCCTACACAGAGCTCCTGCAGCCACTAAAGACATTTAGGTTGTTAACATTGTGTTATTCACACAGGAGTGCTGTTCCTTTAATTCATTAAAATAAATTTGCCATTTTTAATGAATTGCACTACTGCAATTAATTGATGGAAAAGTTCTGAGCAGCAGGAGAAACAAAGGCTGGGGAAATGGAGAGTGTAGGGAGGCCCCAGGTTAATACCACAGCAGTGACCCCCAGAGATGGAACTGTGATCTCCAGGAAGAGAAGGGGGAAAAAAAAACAAAAAAAAAAAAAAAAAAAAGAGATTTAACACTTGCAGTTAAAAACCACAAGGTAAATATACAGGAGCCTTTCCAGCCACAGACAAGTGGGGCAGTGAAAGCTTCTCAGGAGGATGCAGTGACAACTGTCAGACAGAAAAGCTGATCCTGTCTCATGTGAGAAGATAAAGAGGGTTTTCTCTTACACTGCTGCTTCTGGTACTTTGGCTAAAGCTGCTTCTTTATGACTTCATTTTCCTGATGGGCAGAGACTTCTTAAGCCTTGGTTAATACAAAACAACAGGGCTTCAACTCTAACAAAGGCTACAATTGAATTTCTATAATTAAACCTGATGGTTAGCCAAAAACTTAAGGCTGCAAAAGAGACAGGAAAAAAACCCAAACTTGGTTTATATTCCAAGCTCCATAGCCAACCTTTTAATAGAATCTGCAGAAAACCCCAAGCAGTCTCACACAACTACACGTTTTCCACCTATTTTAGCCAGGCTAAATCTAGTTTGTGGTTCTCCAACACAGCTTTTTTTCCATTAAAAAAGGGAACAGACAGACAGACTTTAGTGACAGACTAAAGTCTGAGATCTTCAAGCTGACTCACACTGGCTGACAGCATTTCCCCACTGCCGTGGGTGCTGGTGGGTGAAAGGCACCACTGTCCCCGTGCTCCTGGGGACACAAGGAGCCTCTGGAGCGAGGACACGGCCACCCCACACCCTTCCCAAAATAGCCCCAGGAATCGCTCCCAAAGGCTGCCAACGAGGGACCAGGAACACGGTGCCAGCCAGGAATCAGAGCCCTTCCAGACATGGCCCTGGGGACTTTTGAAGAATCTGGGCTGGAGGAGCCACCTGAGTCATTCCAGGAGGGAATTTGTTTACGCGCACAGCGCTCACCCAGCGCTCCACTTGCCACACCATGAACTCAAGCGGATACTTTTTTTGTCCACATTTATGGGTATACACACAAGAAAATGTTTCTTTTCTTTCTTATACACCTTCCTAATTTTGCTTAACGGTTTAGAAAACGACTATTTCAAGGAGTGTTGACGAAAAGAGGGAAATCGTATGAAATAACACTGAACGGGTCTCTGTGCCCTGAACTGCCTGGAGCTTCTGTGGCTACATCGCCACCGACACATCTGCACCTGACCGAGTGTTACTCGAGGTCACTCCTTAATTATTATTATTAAAATATTATGATTCCA